AGGTTTCCACCCTCAGATCCACCAGTGAGTAAAAGCTCCTTAGTCCTATTGCTGAAAAAGTGTCAGGTCTGAATATGTAACGTTTGCTGAGCTCTAGCCCAGCACTAATCTTGATGGTGGTCCTGCTTGAAACAGGGAGCAGGGGATGCCATCAGGGATCCCTCACAACCTGGATTATGCTCCAAAATGCTTTGCAGGGCTGTTTCAGCCCAGACAAAGGCTAGAGAGCATCTGCAGTGTGGTTGTGTCAGCACACCTTGAGATCAGAGAAAGGCTGGAATGGTACCAAGCAGTTGGAGAGAGAACCCACAAACCCAGCTCAGGTGTGACCATAACCACACCACCCCCATTCAACTTTCTGTGATACTTCCATGAAAAAAAAAAAACACTTATGAGGAAAAAAATTGCATCAGGCTCTTTAAAAGAAAAGATTACACAATTTTTAGAGAGTATTAAAATCTTAGAAATAACTGATTTCTGTTCCAAGTTGTAAAAGGTAAATATTTGGACTTAAAACAGTAAGACAGTCAGACCTCTATTCAGTGTGCCAAATTCAACAGCACCTTCAACCATTTCTGGGTTTTCTTCCTCAGGATTAATTTCTTTAAAAACAGGTATTCATAGTGCAGTTGCCTGGAAATTTAAAAGGTTTAGAGCTTTAAGTTTTACTCTCTCTCACACTATGACTAGTATTGGGAACAGACTGCACGTTTTCACAGAGTACTCAATCATTCATTTCAAATGATTCAATTAAAGCATTCTGAAATTTAAGGTTTTTTCTGGTTTTATTTGTTGGCTTAGAGCTTGATTGGAAAAAAATCCACACAATCCGGAAGACACTATTTGAAGGAATTAACCTTCCCTGCACTTCCCTGGCAGTTCAGGTAGCTTTACATCCAGCTGTAATCCAGGACAACTGGTACTAGATTATAATCTAGTATGTTTAGTATTCACTCTGAAGTTGTGTGATGACATCTGACTGAGGGAAAAAATAATACTGGCATTTCTGAAACCTTGGAAGCACATGGTCTTTTACAGCTTCTTGGCTGTTATTTACTCTCCTAAGAAAGTGTTTTGCCTTTGAGGTATGGAATCTTCATGCACACAGCCACTCACAATTCCCTGGCCCTGAGATGGATCAATGCATGGAGCTGGGCAGCATTTCCAACCTGGCTGTCAAGCTGCTGCTCCTGGCCTGGAGACACTGGAGTGTGACCTCACACAAACCATCTGCTGTGCATCTGGACACCTCTGGAAGGGTTCCATGAATCCCATGCTGACAGAAGCATCCAAAGGGAGATAATCCCCCTGGTCTAGATGTCAAGGGCAACAGGGGAAAATAAAGTATCAAATCAAACTGATGATCAAACTCCAGGCTCTTTTATGAGCGTTGGGAACAGCCATGTACTTCTGGACATGACACAAAGATGTGACTGATTTTAGGTTGGTGCTTCTCTGTACATTTACAGCAGGAAAGTGTGGCAGCATTGAAGCACCCTGAGCCCAGGTACATCCCTCCTGTGGAGCTGAAGCTCAAATTTTAGTTTATTCTAACAAGGTCTGTACTCTGTATGGATCTGGCCTCTTCACACCACCTCCCAGATCACTCCATTCCTGTAAATAACCTTCAGACCTCAGTGTCAGCTCCTCATTCCCAGTTCTGTATCCTACCTTCTGAGACATCTCCTCAGCTAAAAAAACTGGAATACATAAAAAAAAACCATGACATTTCCAGAGAACTATCTATATCATCAGTTGCCTTTAACGTGTCCAGAATTCACCTGCTCAAACTCATCACATGTCAAACCCAAGCTATTCCTAAATTACAAAGCCTAGACTTTTTTTTTTTTTAAATCTTAAAGGATTAATTTGAAAACTTTTCAGGTTTTGGTACACACACACACACGTGCACACAAAAGCAAACATTGCCCACTGTCCTAATGCATCAGGCAGTAAGATTATTTTAATGATTAGAGCTCAAATCCTGGAACTTAGCCTTTCACATCACCTATATCTCATCCAAAGTAGTATGAAAATATGTTACAACATTAATGTCTTCTGCCAGGAGTAGAAACGAAACCCAAAACTGCTACAGGACCAGCAACTTTTCACTATTCCTGTGGGTCAATAGATCAGGCAAACATTTGACCTCAAATGTGCCAAAGACTTTAGCCAAGAATTAATATAAAAAGGAAAACAGCCAATACCAAGCTATAATTTAGCCCTGTGAAGCAACAATCTTAAGCAGAACTCTGGGGGAGTGAGCAGAATTGTGATTTTATCTGCTGCTTATTAGATTTTATGCCAAGGTTTTCATATTATCAAGCATGGTACTGCATAGTATGTGTGTGACAACCCAGGTGAATTTCAAAAATAAAGTCCTTTATCTCTTAAATTAACATTAGACTTCAGAATTAATTGCCAGCTGAGAAGGAGAAAAGCCAAAGTTCCTTTCTAAAATTCATTTCAGTGCTGTATCAGATCAGAACAGGAGGGATAAAGGACTGAAAACTTTTGGGAGCAAACAAAAGTAAAGCTTCAAACTCCAGAAAAGTTGAATCCGTGACAGCAGCTAAAATGTACAAACAATTCATAATATGTGTTGCCTTAGGATATTTTTAATGAGATTTAGTTTTTAATTTTTCCTTGCCCTGCTCTGCTGGCACATTTTTTTGAGGCTAAACCACTCTCTTGTTGTGTCCTTGAAGTAACAGCTGCCAAAAGCAAGATCTGAGCACTCTAACCACTAAGGTGAAGTTTAATAATTTCAGTACCTCTGCTGTGGCCTTTAAATTTTCTGTACATTTTAACAAAAATTCTATGAATATCCATGCACTACAATTCAGAATCTTCTGCATCTTCATAAATACTGTGGTTCTGCCAGAGGTATGTGCAGGATTCCAGGTTCCTTCCAAGAGCTATGTTAGAGAGCCATAAGGATTGCTCTCCCACTTGGCAGTGAAGCCACAACAACGGCAACAGAATTTTCTTGATGAGAACAAAAAGACAGCTTGGTTATTAATAAACAGAAAATAAACTCCCCCACAACACTTGAGAGACAAAAAGACTCAAGCAATTCTATGTCTGATTGACTTAATAGCTGCAATAAATATCTAAAAGCAAAACAGTGAATTTGGCAAGCAGGCAGCTCTCACCTAAAGCGGGGCAACAGCAAAGAACAATTTCTGCTTCAAGGACTCCCCCACAAGTAAGACTGTCCATTTTGTGAACAGTACTACAGGAGCAACACTTAATACAATTTAAACCAACACTTACACAAAACAGTGCAAGGTTATTCCCAAGAGGTGAAGAGTAAAGAATGATTAGGTTTTAATTAGTTAGCAGAGCACTACTGCTAACTCCCCGCTGTCTGCAAGAGAGCTCCAGGATCCACAAGTGGGGGGAAAGCAGACAGAGGTAATTCCTAAAATATTTCTCCACTGCAACAAGTCTAAACAGCTACACAATATCAAATGTTGCTCATTCCTTCGAAAATTAAGAATTTAAGGTCAGCTCTGACAGCCAGTCATTTGAATCAACAGAAAACCAAGCAGAAGCAAGCTGAGGCTCAACAGCATCTCTTCACCAATCTCTTTACTCTCTGTCTGCATCATTATTAAACTGCTGACCTATTCAGAAAAAAAACAGGTAAAAGGTATTTAAGGAAAAAAAAAAGTGGAAGAAATTCCTTTACTCCAATGCTTCTTTCATGCACGTTCCTGGAGCTGGTGCTTCAGTAAGAGGAGATTCAGTGCTCCTAAGAAAAATACAACTGAGCAGTCGCAGACCAGAGTCTCATTTTTAAAGCTCATTTCCCCCCGCCCATTACTTTTTTTTTTTTGTAAGCAAGGGAAAGAGTTAAAAGAAAGATGAAGAAATTCACTTAGCCCAATGTCTATTTCACATATAAGACTGATGGCTTTCCTATAGCCTGTATTTCTATTCAATGACAGCAGAGCACTGAAAATGCCAGAATTCTGCTCCTATCACCCAAGATGCCCAACCAAGTCTTTATACTCAACCCATTACCACTCATCACTCCTAAAACACAAAGCATCATTGACCAAGGGAAACCCATGCAATTTATTTTGCTGGCACCTGCATATTATTTCACCTCTAAGACGTGACAGAAAGTGCTTTTCTTGGCAGCTGCAGCAAGGCTGGTGCTTCAAAGCTTTGAAGCCAAAGGCCAACAATTTTAGCCACTGAAGAAGTGAAAAAATACCTCCAATGTCTGTGTCTCTCTATTATCATAAATTTGAATGCAGACAACAATATCATTAAACACTGTGAGTAACAATTCACGAGGACTCTTGATTTGTCTGTCATTGCTGAAAGGCACTGTCACAGTCACACCCAGCCACAAACTTGTACCTGACACTGCAGCTCATGCTGGCCAGCAAAAATTCCTCCCACCTCCAATAAAGCTAATCCTTCCAACAAATATTTTTAATTCCAAATGTACTGCTTATCCACATCCACTGCTATCACAGTCAGCGCCTCTGTCTTCGCTGACAGCTGAATGTCAGCTCTGAGCTTGACATGATGTATAAGGAAGTCAAATTATCTCATTACACAAGTTTTTAATGGAAACACAGATGAATACAAATCAGAGCACCTCTGCAGGGAACTCCTATGGCAAATCGAGTCTTTGTCACTGAATGAATGACATTCGACGAAAGAATTCTCCCTAAGCAATAATAATTTCACCTGCACACCAGTCACAGTTTTTCAGACGCAAGCAATTCCCTTTAATCCTTAAAAGCCCATGTGCAGGGCACAGTTATCACACAGATAACTACTACCAAACAGGGACGGATTACGAATTATCGTACTGGAAATCATCTTTCTCTACTAGCTGTCCTCTGCATTTCTGTAGAACTAGGCACTTGATCCAATTATTTTCCATAGAAGAGGACCTGAAAAACAAACAGCTTACAAAAATCCCGAGAAGAATATTGCTCAGTGCTCGCTTCATAGACAGACGGTGCCATAGGGTTGGTGTAAGGAAGGCGAGCGATCCAGAAGAGCTCCTGCAGAATGCAAAACTTGGCAAGAAGCAAGCGCTAAATTCGTACGGGAAGCAGCGGGAGCGATGTGGAGGGAGGAGACACATCCTCGGCTCCCGGCACAGCGTCCTGCTGCACCTGCTGCCCTGTGGGAAGCGACATTTTCCCGGAGGCAGCGGGGTGGCTCCCAGCCCCAGTTTGTGAGCATCACGCCCCGCCAGCACCGCTCGGCACGGGCTGCGGGACAGACAAAAGACCGGCAAGGCCGAGCTATAAATCACACCCAGGATCGCAGCGCTCAGGGGGGCGATGTGCAGAGCCAGGGGAGCGGCGCGGGGCTGTGTCCGTGAGCTGTCCCCGGCCGGGGATGGCAGCGGCGGTGCCGGCTGCTGCTGCTGCGCTACTGCGGCTGCGATGGAGCCCCGTTCTGCCTCTGCCTGCAGCTCCCGGGCTGCACACATGCACCTCATATGCATCCCTACGTGCACGCACAGGGAGATAGCTGCGTGCATATAGGTATGTGTGTACATATGGATACCCCGGCTGCTTCGCGCTCGGCAGCCCCACGCTAGCCCGGGGGGCGGCTCGGTGCCCCGCTACCCTGCAGCACGGCCGGGCTGGGTGCAGTCAACGGGGGCTCCAAGCTGCCATCGGGCCGCTGGCCACGGCTCCTGTGGGACACCCCGACCCCCGCCCCGCCGGAATAGCCCGGCAGCTCCCCCGCCGCCTCCCCGCCCGGGGTCAGCCCCGCTCGGACACCGCGTCCCGGCACCCGCGGCTCCGCACCCGCCCCGGTCCCGCGGGGACAGAGAGCCCCGGCCCCGCGCTCACCGCCCGCCGGTGCCGCCTCAGTCCGTGGCCGGCGGTGCTGCCGCAACCCCCGCAGCACAATATGGCGAGCGGCGGCTCCGCAATGGAGCTCGGGAAATAGAGGGGAGTTACATATTCATGGCCGGGGCTGGGCAGGGGGAGCGCGGACGGGGCCGCCGTGCCCGGGCCGCCCCGTGCCCTCCTCCGCCTCCTTCACGGCCGGGGCGCGCCGGCCGCTGCCGGGGTTCCTCGCTGCTTCCCCAGCCCTGCCCACACCTCCGGCCCCGCCGCCAGTGCTCTGTATCCTTTTCCCTTCCCTTTCGTTTCCCGTTCCCGGGATGCGGCACCGCGTCCTGCCGGGCTCCCTCCGCACCACTGCCCCTCTCCTTTGACCGCCCTCCCCGGCCAGGGGCGGCTGAGCTGCGCCAGGAGAGGCTCAGGTCTCACATCTGGAGGAATTCCTTCCCGGAAACGGGAATTAGACATTGGAGAGGGCTGGCTGCCCGGGAGGCGGTGCAGTCACTGTCCCTGGAGGTGTTTAAGGACAGGCTGGCTGTGGCACTTGTCCCACGGCCTGGTTGACAGGGTGGCGTTGGGCATAGGTTGCCCTCGATGGTGCCAGCGGTGTTTTCCAGCCCCGGTGCCTCTGTGGTTCCCTCAGCCAGCCCCGGGGCCGGAGGGCGGGCGGGTGGCGGTGCCGGGCCGCAGCGGGGCCGGCCCGAGCTGCCCCCGCTGTCCCCGGGGAGCCGGGTGAGCCTGCGGGCCGCAGGAATGGGGCGATTGCCGCCTCATTGCCGGCTCCGCCACAGCGCTGCCCCGGGGATGAATGCACGGCCTCTGCTGGCCGTGCTGCCGGAGCTCCGGGGTGCTCGGACACCGCTCCCCGAGGGACGTGCCGGGAGCACCAAGGCGGAGGGAAGCGCTGAGCCCGGGCAGGGAGGTACCGAGCCCAGCGCCATCCCGCAGCCTTCAGACCAGGGACAGAAGCTGAAGCGGGACTTGCGGCCTTTCTGTTCACGATACACCTTCAGGTGTTCTCCAGCATCTCCGCTCTGCGGTCCTGACCTGAAATAAACGTTTGTCTTCCCGTGTCTGCGTTTTAACGTTTGGTAAATTAAAATTGGTTTTATGAGCTGTGGGTCTTCAGGGGTGCCTTCACTGGTCTTGGCATTAACTGCTTTATAGCCATAGCAAGGCAGCGCACTTAGTGTAATTAAATCTGGTGTGAGTAAAAAGTGAACAGAGATCAGACGTGAGTTTGAATTAATACTTCAGTCTTTAATCATGCAGCAATATAATTAAGATTATTCGATATGGAGTATTTAAGGCAATTCAGTATGAAGTGTTGTAAGTTCCTAGAGTGTTATAGTTAGTGTTCTCATCATTAGAATATTTTATAAGTCGTGGTTTGGACCTTCACCTCTTCTTGCAAAACATCACATATTTTTGAGACATTCTAGCCTAAGCCAGATTATTCCTAAGTAACTTTTTATGGAATAATTACTTTTTATGGAGTAGTTTTTTATGGGGTGCACTCCCTCACACCCCTTATGACCTATACTGCAGCCTATATAATTGATCCTTACAAGACATTGATAAGTCAGTCAGGGGTAACGTCTCTGTTTTCTAAGAGTGATCAAATGTCTCAGATAAATCCCAGAGGGAGTCAGCTGTGGACATGATTGAACAGTCCTTGCTCTTGATTTGGTTTCTTAAAGAATTATTATCCTGAAGTGGGTTATGTTGAGCTCTTTCAGTGTTAAAACTCAAAGCTGATACAGAATGGAATAAGAGATTCTGATACATTCCTCTCCTTAGAATGACACTAGTCAGAACTAATGACTGAAATTTTCCTCAAATTTCAGATATTCAGCAGTGCCAAGGAGAGGAAAATGTTGTCTGGCAAGTTATTGTGGTACCAGGAGTGCCCTTTGGTAAAAATTGCTTCTCTTGTTAATTGCCTGCAGCACTGAGGTGAGTGAAGAAGTACTGATACTAATGTACCGCTGCTAGTAAAATTTATTCTATGTGAGAAAAGCTTAATGCTGTGAAAATAAGATTTGCAAAATGAGAGCATGCAGTTGTCAGGAAGGCAGATCTCCAAAAGCAGATGGAGTGCAAGTGTTGGAATCACAGAATCCCAGAAGGGTTTGGGTTGGAAGGGACCTAAAATTCATCTCGTTCCAACCCCCTGCCATGGGCAGGGGCACCTTCCACCAGCCCAGGGTGCTCCAAGCCCTGTCCAGCCTGGCCTTGGACACTGCCAGGGATCCAGGAGCAGCCACAGTTTCTCTGGGCACCCTGTGCCAGGGCCTCCCCACCCTCACAAGAAGAAATCTGGTAAAGTGCAAAACTATATACTGGCATGTAAATTAACAAGCTGTAAATATTTCTGGGAACCTTTTGCTGAAAGAGACACATAAAGAAATTCAACACATTTACGCTGTGCTAATGATGTCCAGCTCTGTATTTCTAGGAATATTTGCTTGATTCTGTTTTATATTTCCTGTATGATTTCATAGTGGCACCATGGATCTCCTCTGCAATGTGGTGCTCTTGCTGCTTTTAAGGATGTGAGAAAAGGCTGCCAATACTTTCCAAGTGCAGGCTGTCCTCCTGCCAAGCCATCAGCATCAGGGTTTGTGCTCAGGGCAGCTGTGGTTCAGATGCAGAGCTGTGCTCCCCACCAGGAGCCCTGATGGCACAGGGACACTGCTGCCACGCCCAGGGGATTGGGGACCATGTCCCTCATGCTCTGCACTCCCTAGATCATACCCAGATACTGTGTCCCGTTTGGGGCTCTCCCTGCTGGAAAGGCATTGACAGGCTGGAGGAAGGGAAGGGAAGGCAGGCCCCCAGGATGGCTGGGGCTGGAGAAGTTCCCCTGGGAGGAAAGGCCATGGGAGCAGGGCTTGCTCAGCCTGGGGCAGGCAGGGCTTTGGGGACCTACACATCCAGCCTTCCTGTGAGGTTACTGAGCCAAGGTCAGGGGTGACAAGAAGCCAAAACAAGGTGTTCTAGATGAATACAGGGAAAATCTATTCCCCATGAGGACACTCAACAGCAGCACAGTTGCCCAGCCAAGTTGTGCCATCTCCATCCTGGGAGGTTTTCCAAATGCAGGCAGTTCAGGCCCTGAGTGACCCCAGAGCTGACCGGCCCTGGGCTGAAGCTTGGACAGGGACTTCTGAGGACCCCTCCAGCCAAGATATTCCATCATCCTGTGATTCTGCACTTGGTTGCAAGACAAGAAAGCCTGGGAAGATGGATAATATTGTATTTCAATACAACACAATGCTCTGTTTTGGGAGCATTTTTGTTCTCTGCAGCAGGTAGCAAAACCATGCAGCATGAGAGCTGAGAGAGGTTTCATCAGCTCCTGCTTTCCACTGTTCCTCCTGTAATGGAAACAATTCTTCTGCTCCTTGCAGCAGGAAAATAATAGTAAAGAAAATTACTCCAGTCAAGTGAGACATGTTGTTTCCATGTCATCCTTTCAGGTAAAATATTTATTACCTGTTAAAGTGATTGAAGGTCACCTGTTCATTTCCTTTCAGAAACCAGCATAGAGAGGGAAGGAAAAGAAAATACTCATGTTGTAAAAATCTGGAGGGAGAGAACTGTAAATAGGAGGCAAAAGATGGGGAAAATCAGGAGAAAATGTCCATGTTGGTGCATTACTCCACTGTAACATTACAGTACATTATAGTAAAGCAAGATAAGGGTATAAATAAATTATAGCAAAGGAAAACTAAATGGGCATTGGCAGGATGAGGTAAGGTCTGCCCTAGCAGTAGTAAAATAATCCTTTTCCCATGCCAGACAGAGCAGGAGGGATTTCTGAGGCATTTACCCTTTGTGCAGGGTACAAACTGTGTGCAGAGCAGCTTTGCTCAGGATCAACTCAAGTACAGTGGGGCAGGAGGAAAAGGCACTGAGGTTCTGAATCAACTCTGGCTCAGGACCAATGGCTTTGCTACAGTTTAAGATTTAGATTCTTTAAAAATAAAGCAGAGCAAGCAAGCTGTGTGATCTTTCATGAAAAATATTTGATGTTTTGAATGGGAAATTAGCCAAGATTGCTCAGCACAGATTGGTACTGTGTGGTAACTGTGATGTGCCTCTTCCTCCTGCCAGAGCTATAGCAGGTTGGTCAGAATGTCCAATGGCAGTCAAGGGGAAAAGCCCTTTTCTGGATCATAAGAGACCTGCAAGATAATACCCCAGTGATATATCTGCAGAACTTTGCAGATTGTGGCTTTATTTTGAGGCTTGTAGACAAAATAAGTGAGAGGGAGAGAGCTGGGGCCGATTAACAACTCACAGAGGTAACTTGAATAAAGGTAAATGGTAACAGAATCCATGTTGTTCAAGGATCAAGATGTACAAATTAGGGATTCTAATAGCTGTATTCCTCTGGAAAAGAAGCTTGGCATGAGACATTACGGACTCTTCAGTATTCAGGCCCTGCCATTATTAAGTATTTGCTTTCAAAAAAGTAATTTAAAATCAGTATTTTGTAGCCAGCATTTGACACTAGAGGAAAAGATACTGCTAAAAACAGCAGCTGGTAAATCCAGAATAAGCTACGAGTGGAAGAGATAGGAGCAGGTAGTAAAAGAGTGGATCTCATTTAGGAAGGGTCAAAGACTTATTTTTTGCCCTCCAGTGTATCCCAAAAATTTCAACGTACTTGATCCCAGCAGAGCTTTAGTGGAGAAATGCACTGCTCAGGCAGTGAGCAAGCAGGGAGCAACAAATCTTCCACCTTTGATGGGAACAGTGCCAGGCAAAGTTCTTTGACGCAAATAGGGAAATAAATACCTCAAATATCTCAACTCTAAACTTGTGATATAAAAAAACAGAAGGATGATGATGATAATAATAATCCCACAACCACAGCTGGGGAACAACAGCAGGACACTGCTATCAGTGACTGGCAGTAATTCAGAAGCGTTTTCATAGCAGCATTCAACTGCAGGGTTCAGAAAGTGATTGTATCAGCAAAATAAAAACAGAAGTCAAAACTGGCCAAGAATTGGAGGAGTAGCTGCAAGATACTATTTATTATCTGTTTCATAAAGTGAAGTTTCAGGCAGTGATCAAAGGGTTTTGCCAGTTCAATAAATGAAGGATAGTTCCAAGTAGCACATCCTCAAATCACAGAAATGGCTACGCAACTGAAAAAGCATCTGAAATTCACATTCTTCAACAGTCATGAGGCAAAACCCCAAACTCACTTAGACTGAAAAAAAAACATGTTTACAAAATCTGTAGCCTTAGGGCTTACCTCAGAAATTCACTATATTTTCAGAGTATGGTTCTTTGAGAAGATATATTACATCTCCTTAGCTTTGGAAATGTCTCCAAGGCACATTAAGACATTTGACTGAAATAGAAGAGGTGGATAATTAGTGGCATCATTTGTAAACATATGCTTAATTAGGCTTTTGGAGAGGGGTAGCATGCATTTAATGCCTGGTATTAATTCTGCATTTGATATTTACAATAGTGTATTTAACAGCTGTAGGATGACAGAGCATGTAATCACTTAATCAGATAATTAGCTTATTACAAATATTTTCATTTGTCGAGATTTTTATTTTAGGCTTTACCTATATATCCCTTTAATGCAGCAAGAGAATTAATTGCACTCATCTAAAACTTGTTGTTCAGCCACTACAAAACACAGGTGGGACTTCCCAGCCATGAAATATGGGCAGCTTGTTCCACAGGGTGGGAGCAGCACACTGAGCACGGGGCTGCCTTCTCCCTGAGGGGTGCTGTGTGTATGGTCTGTCCCTTGTAGCCAGTGCATATTCCAAATTCAGTCTGCAAAAGATAAGCTCATTTCTTCTATTCCCAGAAATCCAGGGGCCTGAGGTAAAGGCCAAGGAGTGGGATCTCATTATAAGTAACTTGGGGAGAGCAAGAAAATGTTCTTTCTGTGCTCTGCAAAGGGGGCAGTGAGTAAAACAGAACCCAACTTTGATATCAAACTGGTTTTCCTTGTAACTTTGTTTACTACTTTTATTATTGTAAGTGGATTGAAGGGAAAGAAATCTTGTTTTTTACCTTGCTTCCTTAGAAGATTTTGCACATCCTTTCAGAGGGGTTTAAGTAGTGTCAGGGTAAAGAAAGCAGAATGCTCCAGCTCTGGTCCCTAGCAGAGGTGGTTTGAACTGAAATAGGGACATGATTAAACCCTGCTTACAACTTTTTAATCTGTCATTCAGCAAACAACATCCTGCTCTCTGCAGTAAGGAAACAAGGGTGTTTAAAGCCTGCCAAATGAAGGGAAGTTCTGTATACGATGTTTGGAAATAGTTTTTAAAGAAATAACTACATAGAAAGTGTTGCAAAGATGAAGTCAAAGATTTATGAGGCATATAGGGTGTTTGTGGGATGAACTACAGGCTGAGACTAACCCACAGTAAAGCTGTTTCTTGGACTGATGAACTTTTCATTGAGGTGAAAAGAATGTGCTGTGCCCTGGAAAACAAATTTAGCACTGTTTTGCTGTTCTCATCCTAGGGCTGTGGGCAATATTTTAAATATGTGCAATATTTTAGGTATGTGACATAAGACAGTACGGGAACAGGGTTAGAAACAGGAGAATATTGGGATGGAGAAGCAATACCTGCACACAACTTCTAGGGACCCAAACAGGAGCTGGAGGCTGTAGATGGAAACAGTGCCACTGAGTGTTTCTGTATTGAGGCCTGACATGTAGATGATTAATACATCTACTGATCGCTAATTAGGTGCAATTAACAGCCTGTACACAACAGCCGCCTGGCTGATATTTAAGATAATTATCTGGTGCCCTCTAGTGGAGCACGAGACAGATATAATCAGACTTTTTTTTTTCCTTGAAAAGACAGATTTATTTTTCTTCCAGCGAATGGCCCAGCCAAGAACCTTTGCTGAAATCATCGAAGGCTTGTGCTTGCACTCAAAATCATGCAAAAGGT